CCCTGCGGGTTGGTGCAGTGGGAACCTTGTACTGAACCGGTGTCCTGGTCCTGCATGTGGTGACAGGGACACAGACACAGCAGTCAAAACAGATGCCAAATACTGAATTACTTTCACTAGAAGTCGTGTAGCATTTCCAGAAGGATGAAGAATAATCTTGTTACTTCTGATAAACTGACATTCAAATAGTTATAATACATCTGAACTTGTAATGGGACACAGTATCCCTCTGCTCCTTCTTTTTCCTCTTTTAAAGTCTGTTACGTATCACCATGACATGACTGCCCGTCAGTGCAGATGAAAGATTAACTCTAGACTTTGCTCCATACTCTATTATGGTACAGAAAGAAGCAGTAAGTGTCTAAAAATGCAACCTGAACATGGCTTGCTAATGTAAGCAACAGCATAAACCATGCGGGATCGCATGGAATAGCAAAGGGACAAAAGGGCAGGTTTGAATGTTTTCTTTTTAATGGAGAAATGTGGTGAAGATACGGAAGACTGACCTTATAAAACTTAGAGAAATTTAGGTGGTAAAAATAATAGAGGTTGGCACTTCTGCACCTTGTATTGAGCTTCTACTTCACGATATGTAAGCTGTAGGAGAGGCCGTCATTAAGCCAACAGCAGCACGGCCAGTGAGGCAGGCAGATTAAGAGGGGCTGCTTTTATCCATCAATCTGGTATTTGCCACAGAATTTTATTCCACAAACTATGGTACATACTTTCGTATTACCATTTTAAGCTCTGGTATTTTTTTACCTGTGTGAACATTAACTAGAAATAAAGAAAAAAGCAGCAAGCTTCTGTTTTCAAAAGAATCAATTTTTCATTTTCTTCAGTTCTTTGCATGAAATATTTTAGATCACATAGCCTGCAGACAGCTGTATAAATTTTTAAGAGTGAAGACACTAACTATACATTGCAAATTCTTCTTATTATTCTGGTTTGAAATAGGCTTATGGAATAATACAAAAGATTCCCCTGAACGGGTGTAATAAACTATGCATTGTTTGCAGGAGTCAAGATGTTATTTGCTGGCATTTCTTAAAATTATTTTAAGCTGCAAAAAAACTCTTAATTTGCATATTGAAGTATATATAGAGAAAGATTCAAAAATGAGAGGCTCTTTTTTCTCTTTAAAAAATGAGAATAATATAGTTAGTTTTATAGTAAACGGGTGCTCAATCCAACATTGAGAAATCAGCATGTTGCTTAGAAAAACAAGTGCTTTAGGCTGTAAATCTGACATATGCTTGTACTTTCTGGCAAGATGCATTCTCCAGGTTTCATGGGATACAGGACTGATCTGAGCTCCCTATGGTATGTCTTTCCTCTGCTTTTTCTGTGTGCTCTAGGGATCTCCACATACAGAGAAAACAGACCAGATTTGCTGTGTGGCTCTGAGAGCAGTGCCTGTCTTCAGTGATGGCAGTGGGGGATCCACACATGCAGGGCAAGCTGAATATCAAACTGGGGAGCAGTCATGCACAACTGAGAAACACAGAGAAAAATTCCACCGATTTTTTAAATAAAGACTTAATCATTTAGAGTATTACACATTCTTAGTACAGTGGCAGTCAGAATCCTAGAGATAACGATGACAGACATTGCTTAGAGCAGGAGTCGCTGTTTTATCTCTGTGCCGTACTCCCTGGATTAGGCAGCACCTTGTACACACACAGTCCAAACAGACAGTAATTGGCAACACACAGGTCATGCATGCTAGAAAAGCTTGCCAGGATGCCTGCTTCTTTCTGACAGATACAGCCTAGAGTAACAAATGCTTGATCTTAATTATACACTATGTTTTGCCTTATGGGAATGAATCCTTTTCTGTGTACTATTCTTAAACCTAGCTCCTAATTTGCCCCATGCGCAAAAATTAATGTTACTTTCAGCAACTGCTAATCACAGTGTTGCAGCTTTTACATTCATTTTTTGTCCCCACATATGTCTAAACATTAACGTTCGCTATTAATGTGGTGGGGACATTCGTGATGTCATAGCCTAGCTCATTCTCTGACCAAGATTATATTAACAGCGTAAATCACTGATATGAGTTTTGGTTGCTTTTAAGGACTCTGCTCAAGTGTAGAGCCCCATGATGTCAGATGCTGCACAAGTTCAAAGCGATTGACTAGTCTTCTTGTAAAGAACTTCTCCGATTCAAACAGACACGGTGAAGCTGAAAACACCCTGGGTTTTATCTAATTCTGTGTGGATGGTCACCTCCTTTTCTTTCTGAAAGCCAAGTAAGTGCATTTCTGATTCAAGACATTTTTAGCTCAGAAAAACAAACTGTAAATTCCAGGGAATGATACTTTTCTCTCTTTTCTTAGCATTTGGTGACATTTGCTAATTGATAAAAGGAATGCTGGATTGCATCTGTTGCTGCTTTTTTTAGGCAAACAATTCTACTGCTGAGGATGAAAACACAGCAGTTTTCAAATCCCACACGCTCTTACAGTCCATAGTCTGTATATATTCCCTGATCTCTTGTGGTCTCAACAGGGTTATTTGCAAATTGGTAAAATTAATATCAAAGAGTAATTAAGGTGCCTGCCTATTTCTTAGCCTATTAACAGCTTCGGTGATTTCCTCATACTGGAATATGCAGCAGGATTGCCATGGAATAAAGTAACAGAGATGGAGGTGTGCATCAGGCAAGACATATTTTAGCTGTTTGTAAGTCCTACCCAGAGCATGCTAGTGGAGCTGCCAACCCACTTTTAATCCTCCTCACAAAAGCTTGATAGGAGAAGTGGGCTTCACCCGCTATTAACAGTGACTCAAGCGCCTTCCTAAGATTCAAATCTTGTTAGCCATTAGCATGCCAGCAGGCTATCTGAATGCACTCAGGTCTGTTCTCAGATATAACAGTTTCATCTCACTCCAGCTGTTTCCAGTAGGGATTCCTCTCTTTAAGACTGCCAAAGAAACAAATTGAGAGTCTGTATCTCTGCAGAGAAACCAGGTTAACCAGTTCAGGAAGGAAATGCAGTTCTCCCACGTCTCTTTGATCAAAATCATCTGCAGAACAATTCATGCTTGGATGGATCCGTGACACAGTTCCCTCCAGATCTGCTCAAAACATTTAACATTTCTGATCCCTTCTTCCATTAGCAATGTATTAGCAGCTGTAGGCTGCTTCATTTTACCAGTTGCTCCACATCCTGTGACTTGTAATCCATTCCTGGGTATGTCTGCCAGCAAAACTTCTGCCAGAAGAATCTTTCACTTTTAAAACAGATGCTTTCCTTTTTACATGGAAGATCTTTTTTCATCTCCAAGCTGTTTGCAGCGAGACACTGATGAGCAGGCTGTGTATGCAAACCATGCTGATGAGGGATTCAAAAACCTTATTAAAGTATCTACACTGACTTTAAGTTCAGGCCATTTCCCTGTAGCTGACAGAACTGATCCTGCTGTACATGACTATTCTGAATACACGTTTCCCAGAGATTACTTATTCCTACAACACTTGGATAGTGATACTTTGGATTTAAATATAGATCAGATTGTACCAAACTTCTTAATCTCTTGTTTATTATCAATACAGCGTATTTTTCAGTAGAAATCTTTCCAGGCATGTCTGTTATGGAATTAATAAAGGTTCTGCTGTCTTCTGTCATGTCTAACATCAATTTGCATAGAGACCATAAACGAGTATTCTTTTCTAGCTCCTCATGCTCAGTATCTCGAAAAGAAACCACTGTGTTCGTGGATTTTACTGTATGCTAAAGGAGGTTTTGTGAAATGCATTGTTAACATATCGGCAGTCCTTTCCTACTATATAGTGGGTCAGCTTTGGAGTAACAGAAAATGGAGTGAAGCACAAAGATAAGCTAAAAGAAATGTGGAATTTTTTCATGAAAAGTTACCTGCTGATTTTCTGTTGAAAAATCTACACCCCTCCCACCCCAATCACTTGCAGTATTTGAGGCGGGAGCTGTCAATCATACATCAATAGAGGCAGGATGCTAGTTAAAGGTAGCGAGCTATTTAAGTTGTCCAAGGCTATCAGTGCTTCATTAATCTAAAACCAAATTGGGGTATACAAGCCAGAAAAGCAGCAAGGATGTTTGCAGTGCTAGAACCCCCACCACATCCAAGATGCTATAATTAAGATTTTGCTTCAGTCCAGATAAGCACGTCCATCACTACACGTACAATCTGTTTTGTAAGTAAACAACATGTACAAGAGTATACACAATTTCTGGTATAATTGCAGATGTTTATCTGCATTCACTCCTGCAATGAATTATATTGTGAATTTCTGACAGGTTCATAAATGATGAATAGCTTATAAAGTTTCATTTTGGGGGTAGTTTTTCTGTCTAATCTCTCTTCGTGAATTAAACCTTAGGGAAGGTGGGAATCAGCTTTTTCATTAGACAGGGATACATAATCCTCTAGCTTCAATCCAGTGTTACTTCTGTACTCTGGCTACAACTATACACCTGATTTAAACACTGCACTTTTCTATTAATATCAGGGTAATTACAATCAACTCGTTCTGCAAAAATTTTAGCAGTCATTGTCAACTACGTCTTAGGGAGTTACTGGTTTTGAAGTTATGCTACTCTGAGTGTGGTACATTTTGGATATTAAGTTTGCGTGTGTATTAACAGCAAGACATAATACATACCACCAAACACTTTCCTTGTTTATAGCAGCTTTCTGAATCCTATTCTACAGTTACTTGAGTTACTTCTGTGCAACTGCTTAGCCCTTCGAGCCAGTGGGTGCTTGGCTTGTTCTGTGTGCAGCAAAAAGGTTGCAAGTAGATCCTGTTCTTAAGTAAAAAATGAAATTCTAGTTTACACTTGATACTGCCTTTGTTAAGGCCACTGTAGCCTCTATGGGCAGTACTTTCCTTTCAGTTTCAGTGGACAAATCATGAAATCATTAACAAATTTTTAAATTACTTTTTTTCCTCTGCTTGTTTTTAGCTTTTTGGGCCATT